AGCAGCAATCAATTCAATTGCAAGGCTAATTCTGTGAGATGATAGAAAGTGAGTCGGCCAAGGAGAAGAGGAGAGAGAACTTGTACAAATTATAGCCAGACATTTCCTGGAAGATGCTTGGCAAATGCCTGTGAATGAATCTACAAAGACAATGAGAAAGTTGCAAAGTTACTTTATTATAAAGTGATCAATAATAATTTCGAGGGTTGAATTTAATAATAAATAATGTGGTCTTATAAATTAAATTTAAAGTCAACATCTTGGGATCAGTATCAAAGAGAATATAACTGAACTAAAATCGAAGATCTAAATGGTATACCTCCTGGTTTCACTTAAGAAATTGCAGAAAATGGACCCTAATTGACAGCCAAATCAGACAGGCCAAGAAAATTAGAAACAGCAGCAATCAATTCGATTGCAAGGCTAATTCTGTGAGATGATAAAAAGTGAGTCGACTAAGGAGAAGAGGAGAGAGAACTTGTACAAATTATAGCCAAAAATTTCTTGGAAGATGCTTGGCAAGTAAATGAATCTACAAAGACAATGAGAAAGTTGCAAAGTTACTTTATTATAAAGTGATCAATAATAATTTTAAAAATTAAAACTAATAATAAATAACATCTCTTATAAATTAGATTTAAAGTTAACATCTTATTATCAGCATCAAAAAAAATTATTCTCTTTAAATCATTTACTTTTTGCTTTTTAGCTATTCTAAAATTAAGTTTCAATCATTTACCTCTTCTTTTGAGGAAAGTTTTTCTCAATATTCCTTATTTCTAAAAAATTTTAAATTTGAAAAAAATAATTTAATTAAACTCTGGATGACTTAGGGATTCTTCCACCGACCTAATAAAAACTATGCCACAATGGAAGACATTGATTTAAAATTGTTTGTTTAAGGTGATACTTTCGTTTGGGAGATTGGTTGCAAAATATTTTAACAACATATATTTAGTAAGACTTTAACGGAGTCATAATATGGCGTAATGTTACACATTAAACTCTTAGTTACTTGTCCCATTCAAGTACTTAATGGGACCATTTGTCTCCATTTTGTATTGAAGGTAACTGGATTTGTTACCTATAGTTAAGAGATGAATTTGGACACGCCATCAATAAGATTATAAGATAATCAAAATTAAAGAAAAAGATAAATAGTGTACCTGCAGGTTTAGTGGACAAAATTGAAGAAATGGATGTCCATAACCAAATTAAAAGTAGCAACC